TATATTTGTTACAAGCTAAGGTCCAGATGCATATACAAGATGGGTGATTCCTATTATTTTTTAAGCCACAGGAAAATACTCTCAGATTTTAATTGTTTCCAAAGCATTGAAATCATGCATTAGTCATTTTTGCACTTAAAATTTTTGATATTCCAAGCTGGTTTGAAGGTCCAAGAATGAAATAAATTAGGGAGAATAATGTGTAACAGTCATAAAGTGTCACGTTGTGTTAATGAGCATAGCTAAATGTTTTTAAACCTGTCCCGATGAGTTTGTCAGGTTTGCAGCTGTCGAGTGTTTGGAGTGACCAGTAGTTCAGATACCGTCCAAAAGCAGGGAATTTGAAATGAGTTTAGAGACCTTTATTGAAGAGATGATTTATTTAAAAATCCAAAGCATCAACCATAAACTTTTTATAATAAACACCTTTTTCTCTTTTTACTAGTATATGTTTGCTGTACATAATCAAATTCATCTTGGGGAGTTGGGAAATTATCATCCTGCATCTCACTCGCTTTTCCTTCTCCGTCCCTCCCCAGGCCCTTCTCCCAGGCCCCTCCCATCACTGTATCTCCCTGCTTCACTACGTCTTTTATTTTGCTCCTTAAATTATTTATATGTTGGGTTTCTCATATAAATAAAACCAATAATAAACATCTTTAAAGCTGCATCTTCCGTACTGGTACATACATGGGTCTTCTCTGTCTGTTTTGTGGTACTGGGGATTGAACCCGGGGCCTTTGCTCTGAGCCGCATCCCCAGCCCTTTTTCAGTGTTCTGAGACCGGGTCTCACGGAGTTGCCCAGGCTGGGCTCAGACTTTCGATCCTCCTGCCTCAGCCTCCCAGAGTGCTGGGATTGATTACATGTGTGTTACCAGCTCAGTACATTTTATAATGCAGAAAAATAATCAAATGAAAAATTGAAAGACCTGGGCCGGGGATTTAGCTCAGTTGTTCCGCTGCCTGCCTTGCAATCTCAAGGACCCTAGTTTGATCCCTGGTACCAAAAAAACCCCACAAACAAACAAAATTCAAAAGCCTGATTACTATCTTCGGTGAGTCTTGAAAGTTGGGAGAAGTGATAAACCCAGAGCTGGCTTTGCGAAGCTGTTCACTCATTTTAGGGCAAGTTGTAGAGCAAGGGACGCAGACTGAATTGTCCTGCAGTGGGTGCTGAGGTTTGAGGCTGAGAGGTGGTGACTGTTAGTGCTGTGAGGCTCCTTTACCGTGTGGGGATATGGTGTAGTTTCAGGAGTCTTCAGATCTCAGGTGCAGACAACGGAAGGTGAACTTCAGCTGAGGTTAATCAGTGTCCTAACAAGTGTGAATATTTTGCTGGGGTACACTGCAGATAGGAGACTACTGAAGACTTCCGCACTTGGGTTTTGTTTTAAAAACTTACCTTTTCCTTTGAAGAATAGCAGAAACATTGTCCATTCCAAAATGTCTTTTCTCTGATCACAAAGAACAAACAAATGTCAGTATCTTTTATGATGGTGGAAAAATGTTAATGCAAATAAACTTCACAATATTAGATTTTCAAAATGTGCCATTTATTTATTGGGTTGGAGACATGGTCTTGCTATAAATTTCAAGTTGGCCTTAAACTTCATGTTGCCCATGTGGGCGCGGAAGTCGCAGTCATCCTCGTGCCTCAGCCTCCCCAGTGTTGGGATTACAGGCTGCGCCCCCATACCTGGCAAAATGTACCTTTCAATCCAGTTAATGAATGAAGCTATTTTTAAAAATATATTCTATAAGAATACATCACAATAGCACATATTTGTATAATCGCACATGAAACTTTTATAATTAGGTATATGAAGTTCTGTGAGTCGATTTTTACTTTCCAACAGCCACGGAGCGTTGCTCAGTGCTTCTGCCCAGTGCTCTCCAAAGGTGAGCTTCCCGTGTAAGAAGAAGAAGTCTGCTGCAGGGAATCCTCAGACCACTCGCGCGCAGTGGGCAGCGCTGCAGTGAGGCGCGGCCCAGCCTTGGGAGGGGCCGCCGAGCGGTGAGGCCCCAGGAGCCGCAGTGAGCAGCGAGTGTGCCCGCAGGGACCGGGCGGGGGGGGGCGCTCCCGCTCCCTTCGGCTTGCTACTTGTTTGCAGGAGGGTCCTGGAGGAAAGGTGGGAGTAGAAACCGTTGGGGAAGTTAAAGTCCCACTTGTGCGCTAGGGTTTAGAACGGAGCGAGAACGACAGCTGACGTCAGACGAATCTGGGTAGGGCAGGGCCGTCCGTGCTGCAGGCTCCAGCCAATGGACTCTTCGTCTTGTTTCCTAAAATGAAAACCTCTCGACCGAAGCCTTGGTGCATTCGGACCCTGGAAACTTGAGACAGCTGGCGGTGGAACGGAGGCGGCAAAGACCGCACCCTCGGCCGGAAACGGGGCGGCCTGAGCCCCGTCACCCTGTGTCACCCTGCGTCACCCTGTCAGGTACCGGGGCGCTGCCGTCAGCGCCGCCTCCGCCGCACAGGAGCACGCGTCTCCCGAGGGCATTTCCAGAAAAGCTCGTCCCTCTATGGTTTCCATGTTTGATCAGCGAAACTTCACTGACCTCAAGCAGGCACAACAAAAGCAACACGGGCCTGGTCACGTGCCCTGGTCATGAGGCGGCTGCTGTCCTCTTGGTCCGCTGCGCCGACTCGGGACAAAGCCTTAGGGACGCTGACTCGGCCCCCAAACCCCCAGAGTCTCCGCTTCGGATTACATCTCGACACCCCGCCGCTTTTGTTCTAGAGAAAATCCCGACACATTTTGTGTAAGGTTATATTGCCATCGCAAACTAGGAATTTAATAAACTTCAACTCTGAAGGGCGTTTTCACTACCTTGCAGTTAGTGGGGATTGAACCCAGGGCCTTCGCACGGAGGTACATCCCAGCCTTTTTGGTACCGGGGATCGAACTCAGGGCTTGGCGCTTGCGAGGCAGGCGGCAGCGCCCCTGAGCTACATCCGCGGCCCTTTTGTTTTGAGATGGGTCCCTAAGTCAGATTTCCCAGGCTGGGCTTGAACCTGGAATCTTCTGCCTCAGCTGCCCTAAGTGCTGAATTTATAGGCTTGCCCCATACATTTACCATCAAAAGTACATCTGGCGCGACTGCAGAAAGCTAAATTGATTTGTTCCTAAAATACTATGCAGAAACATTTCTGAAGATTACATTAACGCTAAGTATTACTTAGGACATTCTATTTGTGACCCCAGGCCATCAGTTTCTCGTGCACAAATCATACTTTTGCCACCTAGATCTTAAAAAAGTGTCAAGATACATGGCAAAAATAACCTTTAATAAACTTTCAAAATGAATGTGAACATCCCTTGTTTTTATGAGTATTTTAATTGGTTCTTTAAAATGTACTACTCTGTAAATTGTCTCAAACTGCTAAACATTTCATACTTCACACTTTAAGAGGATTCAGTATTCCCACTCGATCTTACTTTGCTAAGAATGTCTAAAGCCGTACATTGACATAGAGAACAAAAATGAGCCAGTTTCATCTCTTTGCAAGTCCACCTGGAGTTAGTCTCATTTAGAAAACGTCAGAAAGCATAATTCCTATTTTTGCTGTCTCCATAAGACAGATCTAGGACGCTTATGAGGCAAAGCACCAGCAGCAGCCCATTCACATCCATACTCAACTAAAACTCACATCTATACCCTTGAGAAGTCTCAGCTGCAGATAAAGGCATCGGCTAGTTTTGAGATTGAGAAACAAAAACGTTAATTCTACCTTACAAGACAAGTGTAATGATCTGCAAACAGCGTGGACCCTGCCCTACTAAATAAAGCCTGAACTCATGATTACATTTTTCAACCAGGTATGGTGGTGCATGCCTGTAATCCCAGCACTTGGGAGGCTGAGGCAGGAGGCCTCAAAGCAGCCTTCACTACATAAGGCTTTGTGTCAAAACACAAAACAAAAAGGTGCTTTGTATAGCCACTACTCTCATTCACAACGGAAAACCTTATTTTTTTGGTACCGGAGATTAAACTCAGGACCTTGCGCTTTCGAGACAGGAGCTGAAAACTTTAGGCAAATAAATAAGGACGAACATTTTTCTAACAAAACCATTTTATTTTAAAATTGCTTTACTACCAGATACAGAACAGAGCTCTGGAGGCAGCGTGCACTCGGCTTCCCCTGGTTCTCACGTGTTAAAGGCTCCTGTTTCAGTGCTGCGCCGCACACCCCGCCAGTGCCCTGCTTCAGGGCAGAGGCCCCAGGGCTCGCCCTCCAGTGAGGGTCAGGAGCCTGGCGACAAACTCGGGCCAGGGAACAGCCTCGGACTGGATCCACCCTGGGCAGTGCCGCTATTTTACACGCTCTGGACTCACAAAATGGTCATGTCACATGGCTCAACTTTATCTACTAAAAAACGTTCTAAGAAGTTTAAACAAATGTTATTTGCATCCATCTTTGCTTTAAAAAATGCAGTGAATATTCAGCCCATTACTAAAACTTCTTACACTTGCTATAGACAAAATTCCTGTTGATAAAATCTTTAAAAAGTTAACTACAAACTGTAAAAACACTGCTTTTCTATATGGCACTTCAATTTTAGAACAGGTTTTTAAAAAACCAATTTATACTGAAAACTTGGATTAAAAACTATAATTCCAAGTCTGTTTCCCTTAAGCCCAGCTGCCCAAACACTAATTCCCTAAGTGAATAAATATACTATTTAGTATGGTACAGTAGATACAGGTTATCAACATCGTGTACACAACTGCAGAAAAGGCAATAGTCATACTTCACTGCAAATACAAATTTACTTGTGGGAGGTGGGACCATCCCTTTACCCTAAAAGTTCACTGTGTTATCCAAACCCCTTCCCGCTGAGAAAGGCTTTCGGATAGGAATGGCTGGGACAGTAGTGACGGCAGCTAGCGCTATGAGGGGAGACTTTGTCCTGTGACTATTCAAATGTGGGCAGAAAGAAAGGGTAAAATGAGGTAAATGTCATACATTCAACAGCGTAAATAAATACAAATACGGTTTTACAGGAACGGGCACATAAGTTTCAGGGTTTTATTACCAAAGTGTTGTAAAACAATTTCAGAAACTGTACATCAACATGGCACAGACTGTAGCCTACTTTTGTTTTTACTGCACAAAAGTAAAGCTTGAAACTCCTGGAACTAAGAAAACAGTTGCTCGCTACTTTGCAGATAATCACTGTGTGCATGAAGGTTACCACTGCAGGAAGAAGAACACAAATTTATTGGTTTTATACAACTTGAGATCAAATAAAAGTACATTATCAAGTAGATTTGTTTTAAAAGTATGACGATCAATTTAAAATGCACTATCCCCTTTTTTCCAACACTGAGCTTAAAACAATAAAAGTGGAAAACTGAAAATCAGGACAAAAGATTAAATTCCTTTCAAAGGTGGACTCAGGAGAGGGGGATAGCTTTTAATGATGTGGAAGTGGAATAAATTATTTCAGGAAAAAAAAATTTCCAAACACCTGTGAAAACATATACAACTCTACTTCAAAATATGTTGCTATTTACTCACCGCCAAAGACAGTTTTACGTGAAATCTTGTTTCTGTAATTAAAGCCTAATTAGCCATCAGAAAAGGTTAGTGCATATATAACCTTTCAAAGTTAAACAAAAGCCACAAAAATTGAGCCACAAGGCTTAAAGGATTATCTATTTCAAATGCTCATTTCCAGATGTAACTCTAAGAATGTTATTTTGTCATGTCAACAAACAAGACCATAAGCAGATCCATCCTGTGGAGGATTTTAATGACATTTAGGGTATTCTTGCCACAATAACATGCAATCAGTGCATTCCCTACACGGCTCTATTACGGCAATGAACCAAATCCTAGAGACTCTAAGTGACGTACTTAAGAGGGGGCTCACACAACACCGACACCCCAAGCCTGCTGTGGATGCATGCAGCTGTCGCTCTGTGATGCAGCAGCCTGGGACAGGGTGGCGGACTGCTGGGTTCTCCCTCGGACCTCACCAGGCCAGAGCCGCTTCCCAGGTACCGTTTCTACAAGCCTTCTTTCGGATGTCGTAACTAATGTCACTATCGGAGATTTACAACCACCTGTAACTCAGAGCTGTACACGTCTAGGTTTGAGATGAACACATACAGCGTGGAGCAATCACAAAGGAATGACACTGACGCACGTACACAGGAGGCCCTGCAGCAGCGCTCAGTCGCTCATGTCCATGTCCTCCTCATGGTGATCGTCCCCGTTCACCTTGGACTCTCTCAGCACATCGCCAGCCACCTTCTCCACAGCGCACTCCTTTGTCTTAGGGGAATCCGCTTCTGCTGGCTTCTTCTCCTCTTTCTTCTCTTTCTCGCTGTCATAGCCCTGTTCCTCTTCATCGTAATCCCGTGTGACCTGCTTTCCAGAGGAGAACAAGGAAAGTGAGCTTCTTCAAAGAAAAACCACTGCCCAGGGCTCCCGGCAACCTCAACGCCACAGGAAGTTGGCCTGCATACATACTTTTACGTCCTTGTCACTCTCGGATTTTCGTTCCCGGTCCTTTTCCTTATCCTTACTCTTTTTCTTTTTGCTTGTGGATCGTTCCCTTTCATCTCTGCTTCGTTCTTTGTCTCTATCTTTCTTCTTCTCCTTTTTATGTCTAGAACGAGTGAGAATGTGCTCAGAAAGGATGCTTCCAAAGAACCCCAAGAAGTTTCACCCGAAGTGTGGGGACAGGGTGGACTTGCTCAGGTGTCTAGCTTGCTCCAAGTTGTGCGTACAGGTGACAGGGGCAAGAAGCCTGCAACCTGCTTACAGGTCTAGGGTGCAGACATCCAGAGCACCACTGTGAGCTCCGGGGAGCACAAACACAGCGTACATCAATACTGCTACGGATTCCATATTCCCACATAGAAGAGAAACTGTAACATGTTGAAAAATATAGTTTTCAAAACTTACAACTCTGACAGCTTTAAGACACGTCTACCTGATTACCATTCTTACCTTCTTGGGGATGGGGAGCGAGACATTTTTCTTTTAGGCGATCGAGGCTTTTTGGGAGATCTTGTGCCACTTCTGCTTCTTCGTCGCCGTCTCTCTCTGGAATTACAAATGTGGAGACTAGACTTTGAAATGCAGTACAATCCATTTAGCCCCACTAGGAACCTATAAACATACTTCTAATAATGCAAGACCTGTCTCATAACCTTGTTTGGAGCTGAACAATCTTAAGCTATGGAAAAGACCAATTAGCCAAAGCTTAAGGCAAGAAAGAAAAAATCAGTAGCCACCTATTACTGAGGCAACTGGCTTTTTATTTAAACAGGTACAGGATATTTCAGTAATGATGCGATCTGGAAGGCAGACAGTAATACTCAGAGCATTAACTTTCAGAATCGGTACATGTAATGGAGGGAAGAGTTAGTGGAAAGGTCTAAACTACGCTGACTCCGTGTAGCCCAGCAAAATCCCACCAACGCCATCTGAGTAACTATTTTTAAGAAACACAGATCTCGCTTCCTTTTTACTGTGGCTTTAAAAATAACCCTGTGCTTTTGCAGTCCCACTCCCAAGGGACGCCTGCTCTCCCCTCCTGGCAACGTGACACACCCGCTGCTCGGCCACACCCCGCACCCCGCGCCCCACCTCCTGTGATTGACCCTCTGAGTGCTCTAGGTGGAAGAGATGTTTTATGTATTTCTGTGCCCCTCAGGAGACTGCTGCATAGGAAAACATGTTAGATATGTAATAAAAACTCACAGAAAACGACTTCAACTTAAGAGTGATCCAGTGATTCAAGAGAGTAGGGTGCTTATAGTAAGTACATGATCTCTCTCTCTCTCTCAAAGTGAACTCAATTCTCTTTTTGCTTTTAGCACAGGGACAATGCAGGGTCTTGTGCACGCTAAGCACAGGCTCCCCGCTTGCTGAGTAGGAGCATGCGCACTGCATGTCCTCCCTCCATGCCCTCTGCTGCTGTCCCTCAGCACTGTCATCGTGGTGCAGACACCTACTTTCCTTTTCTCACGTCCTCACTCTCTAGGAACACTTTCATCACCCTTCAAAGAAGCTCCATCCCTGCCACCATCACCACTTTCGACTCAGATCTGCCCCATCCAGACCCTTCCCAGAAGGGAAGCACACAATGTGCGCTGGCTTCTTCTCCTTGGCTTGTGTGCAAGTTCAACCCACAGCAGCATGGTAATGCTGACTATTCTACTGCCCAGGCCACCGTTCTGTTTCTTCACTGTCAGGTAATGGACGTGTAGGCTCACTTTCTGCCTAACATGAGTAATGCTGCAAGTGTCTGTGCATAACTTTGAATCTCCAGGAGTAAAACCGCAAGGTCAAAAACCTGTTTTAGGGCTGGGGATTCAGCTCAGTGGTTCCACTGGCTGCCTCGCAAGCACAAGGTCCCGAGTTTGATGCCCGGTACCAAAAAAACCCCCGAACAAACAAAAACAACAACAACACAAAAGCCTGTTTTACGTTTCCTAAAGCTGACACACTATTTATGCTCAGGGTTCCCAGCTCTCCCCATTCTTTATAATAACCACAATGTGAGCACTGTAGTGAGTTTGAAATGGTGTCTCATGGCGACCTGGCCTGGAGTTTCCTGTTAACCAATGACACTGAACATCATCCATGTACTTATCTGACATTTGCACACCTTCTTGGGAGAAATGGCCCTACAGACCCTTGAGTTTGGGGAGCGTGTGTGGGAATGGTATCGGAGATTGGGCCTTGGGCCTCACACCGAGCCACACACATTCTCGATCTTTTTTATTTAATTTTGAGACCGTCTCAAGTTGCCTATGCTGGGTAATCCTCCTGCCTCAGCCTCCCCAGTAGCCAAGATTATAGGCATGTGCCACATTGCCTAACCCTTTGCCTAGTTTTTAGTTGGGTTATTTGCCTTTCTTTGGCTGAGCTGTAAGACATCTCAGATCTCAGGCCCTTTATACGTTTAGGTATCAGCTATATGAAGTACAAATGTTTCCTGCATTATCTGTGGGCTGTCTTCTTACTTCTGTGAAAGAATCCTCTGAAACACAAAAGCTTTTAATCTGATGTTCTCCAATTTCTCATTTTGTTTTTCTTGGCCTGGTGCTTTTCAATCATTGCGTAGGAAAGCACTGCCAAATACCAGGTCATGAAAATTTACTTGTCTTCTTCTAGGAGTTTCGGGTATCCCTCCGGAGTCTTGCATCATCGACTCTTGAGTTTTTACAGTACGGCACAAGCCGCCTAGTGAATGTGAATAAGGTATATTGAGAACACAGCAGGGCTTGTACCAAATGAACCACGCTAAGGGAAAGAAAAATTCTTGTATATTAACATGTGGATGTAGCGAACACAACTTCTTAGAAGGAAAACAATTTAACAATTCTGTATGCTCTAGCCTTTTATTAAAACTTAACTGTCAAGGGCCAGGGATTTAGCTCAGTGGTTCCGCCGCCTGCCTCGCAAGCATAAGGTCCCGAGTTCGATCCCGGGTACCAAAAAAAATTTTAAAAAAAATAAAAAAAACTTAACTGTCAAGAAAGAAAAAGTGGCCTGTGTTACATTCCATGTCACTTCAAATAGTCTGTGCAGTCAATCAGTGGACAAACCATTCAGCAGAATGGTGAAGTCCTGGTCATTCCTCCCGAGCTGTCTTGTCCAAGCAAGCCCTGGCCTGTCTACCTGCACTCTGCGCACCTCCCGTGACCACGGCTGCCGCTGGCCTATGCAGCCTGAAACTGGAAAGCAGGAGCCCTGTCTACCCACCTGCTTGCACTCCTTGAACGCCGTGCTGTGCTGTAGCTCTTTGGCGGTGTCTTGGAGCGCTTCTTTTCTTTGTCTTCTTTCTTTTTGTCTCTAATAAATGAGCACAATTTAAGATGCATAAAACAGCGAATGCCGGTTGATATAGTGTTACAGATAAAAGTAAAAGTATGGTCAGGTTTAATCCCACTCTTGAGAACTAGAATGCTGGTGGCAGACGCTGTCTTAGAAGAACAGCTTCTGCGGTGTATTCACGGGGAAGAGTGCCAGGGAAGCAGCCCATGTGAGAAAGCAGTGTGCATGTTGCTCATTTTCTTGGTAGGCTCAGTGCTGAACTCCAACAGCCTCAGTCACTGTCTCTCAGTCCTCTAACACTCCTTTTTTTGGGGGGGGGGGTACCAGGGATCGAACTTGGGACCTTGCGCTTGCAAAGCAGGCACTGGAACCACCGAGGTAAATCCCCGGCCCTAACAGTCCTCTTTCTTTCAGCTGATTGCCCATTCTCCCATCCACCTCATGATGCACTAGCTAAATTACTCCTCAGTACGTTTCCAAAGCACACATCCCGGGTCAGTATCATGGGTCAAGCCAATGATACCCTTTTCCACTGCTACATACGCTGGTCTACTTGGTTCTCTTAGAAAAATCACCCATCAGAACAGATTGATACTCCAACTGCAGTTCAACTCGAAATCTTTTTACAGGTTCCTATACATTACCTTTTATTTAAGCCCCACAGCGACTGTTCTCAATAAGACCATTTGCCCAAGACCTGAGCAGTGGGTAGATGACCGATACATTTGCTAAGGGAGAAGTTCTGTGACCACCCACCCACCTCTATCCTAATCATCTTGACCCAATTATCTATTTTGTCCAATGCCAATTTTCTCAGCCCTATCTTCTCTGTTCCCTTCCTTTCCCACGCAGGCCCTCCGGCCCCAGCAGCAATTCTTCTCGTGCAACTCTGTACCACCTAATTCTTAGCTGGCTGCGACACCAGGCTCCAAATGGGTGTGTCACACCGCCCACAAGGTGGCACGTGTCCGCTATCAGAAACTCAAGGCTTCCGTGCTGGGTGACAAGTTTCTCCTTTATCATCACTCACACACGCAGCAAGGGTCCCATAAGGTCACACTGTGGGCAGTGAGCGTGTGAGAACACGTGACGCACAGCTGTCCGCCATACACCCTCTGGCATATTACCAGGAGTGGCTGCTGGTACCAAACCCTTAGCAGTGCTCAAGTGAAAAGAAGAAACCAAAGAAAGTAGCAGGGACAGCTACGAAGGGTCCCTCCTTAGCAATTTACCTAGGCCTGCAGTCCCCCGCTGCCTCCCCCGTCTGTCCAGCAGTGCAGGGCCCTGCAGCCCGAAGCCCGGTTCTCACCCCACACCAGCGGTGCAGCACCTGGTCTTCGACGTGCTCCTTGACCTCCTGCCCCTCTCTCTGGAATGGGACCTTCTCCGCCTTGGGCTTTTTGACCGTCGTCTGCTCCTCGACTTAGAATGCGATCGCCTCCTGGACCTGCTTCTTGATCGCCTAATAATGCGAAAACAGCCGCCCGAGTAGGTAAATTAGAAAGGTGAGCTGCGCACCCTCTAAGCCTCTGATGTGGGGGCTAACAGGGGACAAGCGCCCCTTCCGGTCGCTGTTGGCAACTTACGGAGACCTCTTCACAGACCTCTCAGTCCCGTGCTAACCTGGAGAGCACCACCGACCCCGAGGCTACAACACTGGAGACCCAGTGTGGCAACCCTTGTCACGCCAGCACTCTGGGGGCTGCGCAGGGCAGGGCCCAGCCTGCGTGACTCAGTGTGTCAGGGAGGCCCTGAAGAAATACAAAGCGCTGGGCATGCAGCTTGGGGTGACGGCCCTGGATTCCAACCCCAGTGCCACACACACACAGAGGAAACAAAACCAAAGAAACACTGCTAGCTAGAGAATGAAGGAAACAGGAAATCCAACTCCATGGCATTATTTTTATTCACCTGTGTTTTGAGACAGGATCTTGCTATGTAGTTCAGGCTGGCCTTGAGCTCACAGCGATTGTCACGCCTCAGCCTCCCGAGTGCTGGGATGACAGGTGTGCAACAGCACAACCAGCTTCGATGGCATTATTTTACACAATTCTAACAGATTTGTGTGTGTGTGCGAGACAGGGTTCCACTATGTTGAGGCTGGCCAAACTTGCACCGATCCTCCTGCCTCTGCCTCCCAAGAGCTGGGATTACACATGTGCTCTACCACATCCCGCTATAATTCTATCAGACTTTAGCAATTACTTTTTATTTAATTCTGCACTACAAGTTAAACCTTATTTACCAATTATCAAATGTTTACTACATACTTTACAAAAAGGTAGGCTTCATGCAAAGTCGCTAAAGCAGGCAGATCAGCCCTACTTTATAAATGGAATCTGCCCCGTGTTGCCTTGTTTCTGATCACTGCTAAAGTATGTACCACTTCTCTAAGTCATAATTTAAGAAACTCCAAGCAATGCAGGTCTTGTACACACAATTCAGTTCACACTGCTCATTTGATTTCCATTTCCAAAGTTATTACTGTCTCTACCCGACCCTCTTTCTCTTCTGTCACTTTTCAGAAATCTTTCTCTGTCCCTCCCTGTCCCCTCCAGGACATAACAAGTACACCTAACCTTTAGCTGTTTTCACAGATCCTCTGCTTTAAAACAGGCATTCCTCTATTTCAAGAAGTGTTAAAAGTCAGTTCTAAGTCCTTCTTTCAGTATGGATGACTTAACTTTGAATAACCTACAACCTTTCCGTAGGATATTTCAAATACAGTCTGAACTTTCTGCCTGCTTTTCAAGTACCAGAGCACGGACATACTAGAATCGGAAAGATGTGGGCTCAACTCTCAATCTGTAAGTCTCGTACTATAAGAGTATTATCTAACTTCCTTTATTCTGTTACCTCTGTACTTTAAGATAATAACAACTACTTCACAAAATAGCTGTGAACTAAATGCTCCTCCAGAGGCCAGCTGAGGGCCTTCCTGCAGGGCACACATGTGCCATGCTGATTCTCCCCTTACCAATGTGCTAACAGCTTCGGGTGCCATTATCTTCCTAGAAACAAACCCCATCAACAGTGCCTTACTGAACTACACAAATGTTTATTCGTACTTTCCAGACATAGTGAAATTACTTATTAAACAATCTTGTAGTATCAACACTATATCCTCAGGCACTTTTAATTGACCGTATCCACCTGTTACTTCCAGGAGGATAGGGGAAGGACGGCTTACTTTTCACCACTGAGGCCTCGAGCAATCACTGTAGTATCTCTTTTTTTTTTTGGTACTGGAGATCGAACTCAGGTCCTTGCGCTTACACAGCAGGTAGCAAAACCACTGAGCTAAATCCCCAGCCCCTGTCTTAAAAGATATCAAAACAAATCACAAGAACACTCATGACATCTTTCTAAACATAGAGACTAATAATTCCAAATGTTCTGAAGAATCCACTAAGGAGTCCGCTCAACTTTCAAGTGAGGTGAAGGGAAACTACCGGAAGTAATAGACCACAAGTGAAAATCAGCAATCTGCAGCCACCCTCGGACGGCTTAGGCCAGAGCTAGACAGCAAGTAAGGGAACCTGAGTAGGGAGTTTAGAAATTAAGGGAAGTGAAGCATGGCTGACACAGCTGGTGCTGAAAAACCTCAGGGTGCACAGGGTTTGGGTTATGTCAAAGGCAGCAGCTGCACCATGCCTCTGTGCTATGCCGACATCTTCGAGAATGATGGGGAAGGTGGGGAAGGAGCTGGCATCTCCTCGGCACACAGCTAAGCAGCGGCCGACGAGCCACCCAGCGGTCACTGACACTTGCTGGCATCTCCTGATGCCCTATGGTCAAGAATAAAGCGGCGCCTTCAGTAACGATGTCTTGGATGAAACAGCGAAAAGTACTACTCCTTAAAGGTCTACTCAAAGTCAAGACAGATAGATTTTAATTTAGCAGAATATGCTTTCAGATTCCAAATCACAATTACCTTTGCAGGAACCATCGTCTGTCAGACTTTGGCATTTTATCAAAAAAACACCAATCACCGTAACAGGTACATTACCCTTCCCCTTTCCAACTGCACACTTGTAGAAGCTGGACGTAAATACTCACACGTCAGACGGACAGCAACACAGACGAGCTCAGCGCTTTCCCACGGATGAACTCACCTTGACGCAGTCCCCGTGTGTCCCTACCACCTATGGCCTTCTTGGTCTTCAAGTCTGACTCACCCATTCAGTCCCTATCATTTCTGCCCTTTACACACATGAACTCCGCACTGAATCGCACTTTAATCTCAGGCTCCGATGGCAAATCTTTTAGAGCTTTCAATGGTAACAGCCTGAGGTGCCACGTGCCCTAGGCTCACCACACTGGTCTCCGGGCAGTAGTGAGTTAACAGAGAAAATGAGGAAAACTGTGACCCACGGAAACCATCATGGAAACCATCTGTGCCAGGTCTGATGGACTTCTATACAAGCAGTCTCACCTGTGTCTAGAAGATGAGGGAGTCCGCCTTCTCCTAGAACGCGATCTTGATCTTGAATGCCTTCTTTTTTCTTCTTTCTTATCTGATTTAAAAAGAAAAAAAATCTATGCTTAGAAATATCAAACAGAATTACTCTGAACTTCTTTATCTTAATTCGCATCTTTTACACACAGCCTTCAATGTTACAGGGGATCATTTTATAATTCATAATGCTGACGCTTGCTCAAGTGACACTAACCATCCAGGCTTTTGGTGGGTTCCAATTTTTTTTTTGGGTACCAGGGATCGAACTCGGGACCTTGCACTTTCAAGGCAGGCGGCAGAACCACTGAGCTAAATCCCCGGCCCTTGGTAGGTTCCAATTTAACCTCAAATTCTCAGCTAGCTTAAGGTTCCTTTTACTGTCTCTCACTTGCCATACTTAGGAGGCAGCGAGGTGTTTTTCCGTAAGACAAGAAAATGGGTCTTTCTCATTCCTTGGCTCTTTCCAATTTATTCTTCAGAAGGTTCTAAATGAGTTATTTTTCCTTTCTTTGGTTCTTTCACACATAGCTACAATTCATGCAGATTAAGGCTTTATTGTTTCTCTATTGCTAATAACTTCCAGTCAGCACTTAACAGTAAGTATGCTCAATATGTAAGTTTATAATTTAAAAAAGCCACTGAAAATTCTGCAAAGTGTTCTTTATCTTGAGGTGTGTGGACATGCATGCCTATGGGCTCAGATGTGGAACAGAATCCATTTCCTTTCTTACCATTTAACTTTAAACTCCTACGCTACATACACTTGACGTATGTTCATGTCAAACAGTTTAATGAACAGACTCAGAGTTTGGCCTCCAAGCCCAGAAAGTCATGACTCATTCACTGTGTCTGCTGTACTCTAGTGGCAGAATTAAGATTGTAGTAGCCAGCAGTCTATTTCCTAGAAATTATCAATTACACAAGCATATGAAATACATCTAGGACAGAATTATTTCCTTGTTTCAAAGTGAGAATGAATTCGTCTTTCACTTTTAGGTCTTTTCGTTAATGGTGCTCAATTTTTTATGAATGTCACTATCAATAATAAAGTCACAAAAAAATCTAAGAAAGCACTTTTAGTAATAGCCATGGGTTTTCAACAGAAACAGAATCATCGGGTATCCGAAAGCGCTGGATTACGCAGATCTAGCTGTGTTATCTAAAGTTTTATTACTTGCCATGTGATCACTGGTAATTATTAAGACATTAAGTGATACACATAAAACATCTGGAATGTTTTCCCATTATAATTTGAAGTTATTTTCCTAATATGATGCACACTAAAAACACTGCCATTAATGAGAGCAAAAGAACGTTATTTAACAAGGAGAACTTCACGACCGCAGATGTAAATCCAGACAGACACTGGGCACTGCCCCTCGGAACCCTCTGGTTGGGGCACAGCTCAGTGGCAGAGCAGCTGCTCAGCATGAGCAGGGCCTGGACTCACTCCCAGCACACCCGAGACCACAAAAAAATTGGGTGTTTGCTTTTCTTGATCTCTTGATCTAAAAAAAAGACTTAAAATTAGGCCATCCTGACATAGACAAAGATTAAAAAGAACCCTAAACATCACACCGGGCAGCAGGCTGTCCCAGCCCCACTGGCCGTCTGGCCTGCTCAGTGGCGGCTGTGGGGATGCACTGGTCATGGTGCAGGTCCAGCAGCGCTCCTGCCCTGTGCTCACCAGACACGGCCCCAGTGACAAGCACAAACTGCTCCACAACTTCCACATTTGCTGGGCGGCACTGCATTACATGATCTTTTATTTCCCAGAACATGAAAAAGTAAGAGTATGATTCAATACACTTCCACACTTAGGCTGTCGTCATTTTTGACAGGAAACAGAGTTTAACATTCAGTTACGCTGCAGAAAGATCACTCTACCTGGCTCTATAGCAGCAGATATCAGGGACTGTGCTTCTCGTACTCTTTTCATGGCTTCCTCTATTTCTTTGCTAGAGGTGTCTGATTTCAGACTTGGTGAAACAAGACCAGCAGCTACATGATTCAACCTGAAATAGAACCAAGAATTGAGAATGGAAATATCCCTACACTTCCATTAAGTATGTTTCACATATAACATCACTTTAGTGGAATATTTCTTCATAAAAGGAGAATTGGTGACTTCAGTAAATAATGTATAGTGCCAAGTGTGGTGGTGCACAGCTGTAATCCCAGCACTCAGGAGGCTGAGGCAGGAAGGCTGCTCTGAGTTTGAGGCCAGACTGGGATACATAGTGAGCATAAAGCCAGCCTGAACTACATGGTGAGAGCCTGTCTCCAAAAAAAAAAATCAAAACAATAGATAGCATAGCATCATTCTGAATATTTACAATGAGCATCTCTATTTTAATGATTCAGTGATATCTGGAATTATGGAATTAAAAATACCTATTTACTTTTAACTTTCCATAAATCAGCATATTCTGAAACGCTAGTAAAAAGGAACCTGCTGATGCTAAAAACCTAAGTGAACCTCCTCCCACCACAGAACTGGAGACTTTTCACATATCACTTTGCTGGGGAAAAGCAACACCTCTAAATTGCAGATGGGGGAAACTGGCTGCCAGTGACACAGGAAAGCCAGACTCTAAGGCTACTCATGGTCCTTAGGGTGACACACGAGAGCGACCACCGTGAAAAGGTACTGTGCGGGGAGCGGGTGGAGACTGATAATGGGCTCGGCAATCTGTGGTAAGCAGGGTGGCAGGCATAGGCTTGGATTCTAATCATAATTTCTTTTAGCTAACAAGGCCACTAAGTACCAAAGTCAGATGATTCTGTTCTCCACCCCAAGCTCTCCCATTTACTGATAAATCAGCATAACGGGAAATGGCATAAAGTTCAAATTTAGTTTACAAATTTTTTTGTTTTTGTTTTGTTTGTTTTTTTGGTACCGGGGATCGAACTCAGGACCTTGCACTTGAGAGGCAGGCGCTGGAACCACTGAGCTAAATCCCCGGCCCTAGTTTACACATTTAAAACAACTTTCCTGAACCTGTCACACATCGGGTAGAGACAAATTCAGACCCAGCGTGAAGGAGACTTTATCAAAGCACCTGAAGGCTGTGTTGGCCACTAACTCCACTCCCATGTACCACTGCTCTGCCTGGGACGCTTCCCTCCTCAGCTCGCCCGCCAGTTTCCCTTCGGACTGCAAGCATGGTTGCATGCAGTGCAACACCATGGAAACACAGACACTGTGCAGGGCGCTGTGTGCACTTAGATAAACCAAGCTATGGGAGCTCTATGGTCTGACACTGTCATAAACCACTTACACTGAAACAAGGTCCTTATTTCTGGATTTCCCTCTTTGTCTCTAGAAAACAGTATATAATAGAAGCCTTGAGAACAGGTAATATTTTGAGCTATCAAAAGTAACTGTTCTCACCAGGCGTGGCAGGGCATGCCTGTAATCCCAGCAACTGGGAAGCCAAGGCAGGAGGATCACCATCAGTTCAAGGGCAGCCTGAGCTACATAGGGAGCAAGACCTTGGCAAAAACAAACAAACAAACAAAAAGAGTAACTGTTGTCTACAAATCCACCCACCACAGCACCATGGGAAAATGCTTACTTGGGATCCACGGTGCTCATAAGCTTCAGCAACTGATCTGCGGCAAGAGACTGGAAACAAGCCAAAGCATGACAGCAATGAGAACACAGAAAACAATAAATTATGCTATTTTATCCTTTTAGTATGTCGAAAGGTGCTGGCACAACCTGCCCAACCTATTAAGAATCAACATACTCTATGCATAATGCTGACCAGTAAAAACACAATGGAGCTATGGGTCATTAAACTTTTTAGTAGCCACACTAAAAAAACAAAAAATAAGTGGCATTGGTGGCTACTGAATAAGCAGAGCAGATTTAGCAAGTTATCTGAAAACTGAGGCTAAACAGTCTGGATTACAGAATTACCTGTTGCTTATTTTAAGATGCTCAAATGGAAAGTAATACTTTAAAGATACAGTGAAACCAAACTTAAAATTCCTTAGTATATGAGAAGATCTCTAGAAAATAAGGACTTCAGCAGCTGGACATGTGGCACACACGTGTAATCCCAGCACTCAAGGAGGCTGAGTCAGAAAGATCTCAAGTTGCAGCTCAGTCAGGGCAATTTAAGTGAGACCCCGTGTCACAAAAAAACCCAAAACAAAACAGGGTGGAGATGAAGCTTAATGTGAAGGCTCTGGAGAACCACCACGAAAACGGTAAGGACTTTAGAAAAAAAGCTTAGAGTTCAATGACAAAACCCAAAACACTAGAAGTGAAGCCCATGATCTCCATGAGTATAATAAAGAATGTATATTGCCATCCTTTCACGATTACCCTGTTGCCATGATACACTCACTGGTGATGTGTCTGTTCCCTAGGAATCCATTTCTTACACGGAATTTTAAGAGGCCAAAGATCTAGTGACCATTTAAATCTCTTTTTAACAAGGTGACATAAGAAAAAGTATTACTAGGATATAGATCTCCTGTCTTGACATGCAAATGAACAGTAAGGTTTTTGTAAAACTGGCAGAAAGCTGAAGGGCAGCTCAGTCATACCTGAGAGTTCAAGTTTGCTCCAGGAAGCCCCAGTGCAGCAAGGGCAGGATCCAGAGTGGGAGCTCCCAAAGCAGCCAACGGAACAGCGCCAATCTGTCAAGAAAAGCTTATTTAAAACTTCCTTTTGTTCCTTAGACCGGGGCTCAGCACTTATTTTCTGTAAAGGGTCGGAAAGTAACTAAGTTTTCAGGCTTTGGGGTCTCTGTTGCAACCACTCAACTGTACAGAAATGTACACCACACAGTAGTTCAAAATCAGCCACAGATAATAAACAAGTGGACATGGTGCAGCTAAACAACTATGGGTGTACTCTGCAAACCTTGCTCTAAGTGATGGTCCAATTTCTCATTCTTCAGAGAATGAAATAAAATCAATACAGGGCCCTTTAAAGCATTTCTCTTCAGACCACTGCCAGGGAATGAAGCTCTCTGCATGCTGAGTGTTAGAGGACACTAGCTGAGGACAGGGCTCCTCCCCTGGGGCCACAGGTCCTCGTCCCCAAAGTGGCCCTTGCTGGCTCCCAGGGGATTCTGGTGCCATCTCCATGAGGAGCTTCCCCGAGAGTTCCATGGGAGTCCAAAGAATCCCCAGCATGACTTTCAGAGGAGGCTCGAGTCTCAGCAGCGGAAGAGCGGGGAGCCTTGAGTGCTGTCTAAATGTGTCCCTTCTACATGTACTTCTGCCTCTGCGACATTTCCTATACTGTGATGACTGTGTTCAGACGTCCCCTAGTAACCTCCTCCTAATGGTTAAGAAATCCTTTTATCAGCTGTTCCCCGTTCACATTAGTATGTAGTGCTGCTGGTCTTACCTGAGAATTCCGACTAATTCTAAACAGACAAAAGATGCAAAGCCTGGTAACTTTACAGGCAGTCTGACTTTCTCCAGAAGAATTATGCTCTAAGTTCACCTACTTTCAGTTAACATGCAGTAAATGCAAAGTTCTACATTTCTTGTAATTGAACTGTTTGAGTACAGTTTGTATTTTCTCTCATATTACTGTCTAACAGAATACTTAATTTTACACAGTAAAAAGATGTAGTGATTACTCACATCCTCATCCATAGATAAGGAACTTAGGAGTTAAGTGACAAAGTCAAACCCAAAGGGCCTGGGACTCCTGATCTTTCCAAGGCACTGTACCGCTCACGTCACAGCAAAACCAGTAATTCACACAGGCAACATGGCGGAAAGGATGCTTCAGACATTTCTAGTTGAGGATCATCACTGACGATTACCTCTGAGACCACTGACTAGTTATATATGAGGAGGCAGAATGAGTGTTATCAGAAATGCCTTCGGGGTTGGGGGCACAGCATTTGTCTAGCATGGGTGGGCCCTTAGTTTGATTCCCTCAGCACTGTAAAAAACAAAGTAAATTCACTTGTTTAAAATAATGTGCCTTCTTAAAGCTCTGTTAGAAACATTATAACCAACTTTATCCCATGTTCCTCATATCAAACATTCTCATCTAGAATCCCTCTTTATTTTCAAACCACCGACTTAATTCAACCCCAAGACAACAGCAAAAGAACAAAGGCTTTGAGAAAGAAAAGGGGCGGGGGAGGAGGGCTTCGTTTAAGAAACTTTAATTCAGTTTCATTTTCTTTACTGGCCCAATCTTTTTACAGTGTGTCTACAATTACAACTGGATTACTTTGGGAGCCAATCCAAAACCAACATAACAGGTATTTTACACTATTTAGAATAGTTTCAAAATGTCAAATTTCTAAGAGGGTTTCTGTACTATTTATGATTAGAACACAGCCTTCTACAGTAAGATGCACATGTGACACTGCTGTATGAGCTAGAATCAGAAAAGCACTCAGAAAGCTCAAATATGTTTAGGCTCATCCACAACTCTGTTTCTTCCCATCCCTTCAGAATCCAACAGAATGAGTACCTGGGTAAGTGGGTTGGGCGTAGGGAGGAGTCCACCGCCAGGCAGAAGGCCTGCCACTGCGTTAGCTGGTGCCAACAGAGACAAAGCCTTAGTCTCATCAGGAATAACTCCTGCAGAGAAACATCCGTGCATGAGAACACACTCTTTGGCAAGACAGAAAACACACAAAAACACCCAGAAAATGTCTCCCTGATACACCACCTGAGTTTGTTGAAAGTACTTATGCTCGCTAAAATATAAAGCTTGATCTCTATGATTATTTATCATTAATTTTATGTCAGAATGAAACTTCAATGTGTGAAAATTTGTTTCCTTTTTCTCTACAAATGGTTAAGTTTCTAGAGTAAAAAAAAAATAGCACAATACACACTACTTTTTTGTTAACACTGCCAAGATTTCATCACCTGTACTCGATTTTTAAGTCATGAACCAAACGTAAGCAAGCACAGTCGGTTCTCCAGGGGTGTGCTCTCAACTTTCAAAAGCTGTTTTATGAACAACGACTCGTGTCGGCTGCTTCACTATAAAGCACACAGAAAAATCAAGATACACAAGACAAAAAAAAGTTTGATTTAGGGGTTAATAATATGGTACAGTTACTATGATTTTTACACCTACCATACAAATTTTGTAAAACTTAAGAGAAGAAAAGTATGTAAGGAAATATTCTGTTGGAATCAAGCGTAGGGCTTTTGCTGACTCATGAAAATGAACATGAATGTTTCTGAAGATCTCTGAATACACACACGATGTGTGTGTGAGAGTGAGAGAGAGAGAGAGAGAGAGAGAGAGAAAGCAAAAATAGGTAAAACAACATGGCACATTCCTTACCTGTAGAGTTAAATGCTTTTATGTTCCAACATGTGCCATGCTAATCAAACCAAAATTGCTACATAGTGTCAGTTCAAAACTAACTTCACTGAACTCCTTAAGCCCAAAGCGACATGTATGTCTGTTTTTAAGGCCTAATTTGTGTATTCAGATAATATCTAAGGGTCCTAATACAAATATTTATGTAGACAATTTAAATTCTATCCGACAGCAAAAGCCCTATACAGACGGATTAATCTGTTAATGTGCCCAAGCCCCCAAAATGAGAGTTCAATAATACAATTAAACTACATATTTGCAAATACCAGTAGTATTTCTGTAATACATATTAAGAAACTGCATCTCATCATAAAACATACAATATGTACAGGGCACTTAAGAGAAACTGGATAAGCTGCAGAAGAAAACTGTTGGGTGGTATTTTCAGCAGGGCCTGGTATATAGTTCAGGCTGAACCAGGGAAAAGAACTGTAAAACACAACAACAAAAAAGAAAAACCACTGTTAAATAAAGGTAATGGTTCCTTCCTCCTACACTGAGAAGTGCCGATAACATAAACAAATGTACACTACACAGCACTGTTATCTTGCTTGTGCCAGAGCTGTCATAGATTTAGATACCAGGAGTTATGGAGGGGAGGGAGAAGATCATTTATATACAGGGCATTAATGCATCAACATTAACAAACCTACAGAGATTAAGGGGTAATTTTGCATGCAAAATTAAGTCTCAAGAGGATATATTAAGTATCAACATCTTACTCAAATTAGTGCATTTGCAACATTTCTGGCAAACTTAATCCTCTTGAATTTACTGAGACACCTGATAGAAGATCTGCATCCATTAAAAAAGATCATGCATCTGATCCTCCGATTAAAAAAGTCTATTTAAAAATAAAACTACAATTGAAAAAATAGCAATGAGGCCCCTCACCAGTTAATTTTCATGCGTCAAGAGTATTTTTTTTACTGCTGCTTTGATAGAACCATGAAATACTGCATGAATGTGTAGAAATGAAAGAAAAAGAAACAGACAAAAGAAACAAACATTAACCAAGGAACCTAAAATAACCCCCAAATCCATTACTATTAAAGAGTTCCTTCCAAATCTTGATATCTCAGTTTTACCAATTTAGACTATTTCTTACCGTAAATTTTGTGTCTAGTGCTCTAAAACAGTGGCCAAGAACCAACACCAAAGTATAAAAGCTAAAACCGCAGTGCATGGTGACAAAGGGACCGAACACATTCACTTACTTAATGGAGGTAACATTAATACAGCATATCATACCATGTTGAATACAGCAAAAATAGATTTTTGAACTAAACATTTCTATAATTCTTACATATTCCCCGAAACCTCACTTTGAAAAACAGATGTTAAAAAAAATTACTATGGTCTAGTGCTATCTATAAAAGCCCGTTCTATGATATACTGTATTATGTTTAGGCTTAGAAACTATATATATAATACTTAGCCAATAAAAATTCTTTAATGGCTAACTACAATGTTTGGCACATTACTCACGTGATCTGACCCATGTTTCCAGGTCTATCATTTACATTTTACTCATCCTAAATTTGAATTCTAAAAATTCTTTGTTGGTGGTTAAGTTTTAGCCTACAACAAACACACTGGCATAAGAGAGATCTTTTAACCAAAAGATAACTACTTCTAAGGTCTTAAAGCTGTGCTCATGTACTTTAATAAAATAATTGAGATAGAAGAACTGTTACAATACAACATGCCTTAACGCAGCTCTGAACAGAAATTAATTTCTTTAGAAATCCACAGGCAATTTCTCCAACTTTGACATTTCACAACCTTACAAGATATAGTGTAAATGTTTACATTTGTATTCAAAGATCTAAGATAACAACTAAAATGAACAGTAACAAAGTTTTGTTTCTACTGACCAGTTTATTAGAGGAAGGGTAAAGCATGTAAATCCTGGTCAGTGTATTTAATAAAATGTTCACTTAAAATCTAATCATTTTATCATGTTAATGATTTCTTCAATCAAAATTTATAGTTACCAAAAAGCAAATCAAGTAGCAGTACACTGGGAACAATCAAATTATAAAATATGCCTCAGAAAATTTTACAAAATGGTATTAGTGTTGTCTTGTCACAGTGGCTTTTTTAGATCCAAAAAACCTGCTCAATTTTTTCTGTCAAATTACTTTAACAGCCTAAAACGTAAAAAGAGAGAAAATGTGGTTAACAAATGGTCACAGCAGGGAACGCTTGGGCACTGGAGTGCGTGCTGGCCTTTAGTTAATGTCTAGAATCCCCTGTGGCTGCAGAGAACCCACTGTTTTCAGTCATCTGGAAGAGTTTTGCATTTGCCTTCTCCACTACAAAAATCACACACACAAATAACAGAGAGAAGAATTTATTATTTAGAAATATTCTAGAAAATATAACAAGAATGAACAAGAAAATCTGGCATAAAAACAAAACACCCAGTGCCCATCTGGCACCTAAACTATAGGAAATCTTGTATTTTCACAAAATTTAAAATTGCAACCCTTGGTATACTGGAATTCAATGTGGGATTTTTTTTTTCTTTTTTCAAGTTATCAGTGTGAGGAAGCATAATAGAAATACAACTTAGCCATTTATTTAAATAACATCATGCATTTGAAGGCCTCTGTTAAGTGCACATGGAGTGAGTCATTTACCTTTGGGACTTGTTCACAAAAACTAAGTAGATATATCTCAGAGAGTTACAAGGAGGGATATGGTTTTCAAGAACTTAAAAATGTTTTAAAGAAAGCAAAGGCTATCTTATTTAAAAAAAAAAAGACCTGATATCTAATTATTAGAATTAAAAGAATCTGCAAGTAAGTATCACATACTGCAGTATAACAAGGGTTTCAAAATGTTGACCACTTCGATTCTAATAAGCTACTAATGCTCATTCTGCAGCTATACTGAGGTAGCTGGTCATCTTAGGATGCCCACAGAGGTAGTTAAACAAAGCACAAACCTTCAGCATACGGTACGACTATCAAAGCTCTGTCAACGAATACAGTGTTTGTCAGATGCTGTGCCACAACTGCTGAATCTGGATCATGGAACTTAACAAAGCAGACACGAGATGAAACTGGTAAAGGCGAGTCACTAAAAAAATATACAACACAAAAGAAGAGAATCAATTATGAGTGAAAACACACATGCACAACTTGCAAACCAACACTTGCATCCATAACTGCATACAAATTAACTAGTTTGAAAGAAAATATTTATTGCCCACTAAACTAATGTAGCAAATTGTGCAGTAGATAAAAACCTCTAATTCCTATTTAAATTTAAAATGTATCCAGTTAAACATAGTTTTCCAAAGTCTCAGACCACACGGAGAGCAACATGTTTTTCAGAGTAACAACTACCCTTCCTGGGGCTGGGGATTGAAGCTAGGGTTGGGTATGTGTTCCACCACCAACCCCTCCCTGCCCCAACGCTGGCTCTTAGACAGCAATTAGTTTTGCCTTATAAACTTTTCGCTATAGCTAATTTCTCACAGTAGAAAGGTTTTGAAAAGTGTATCAATTTGATAATCAACTGAGTTTGTTTAAAAGCCAGTCTCATTATGTATTCCAAATGGGCCCTGAACTTGCCATGCTCCTGCATCGGCCTCTAGGCCTCTAGAAGGGCATTTTCCACATTTAGGTCCTAAGAGCTCCTAGGTACCTGAAACAGTCTTTCTGGCTTGGAGCATTTTGAGAGAATAGAAAAATCTGAAGCATAAACAAAATGTAAGCATCTCCCAACCTGTGCAATTTCATGAGTGAAGGAGCCATTTTCCTCAGGAAATGGAATGGCTTCTTCAGAAAAAAGAGAAGTGAAGTGCAAGCTACAGCAGTGTAAGATAAATAACGCAAGGAGCAAACTTTAAGAAGTAACTTCTATCATAAAAACTTCTCTGTGAAAGAAATGGATTAAATAAAGGCAGGTCTGCTCCCTCACTGCACACGCTATCTGAAAGCCAGCGCCCGAAGGCCGCCCCACCACAGGAAGTGCCAGCAGCCCAGGCCGCACGTGAAGTTCAGCTGAACTCGAGGGGGAGTCCAGGCCACCTGCTCGCCAGCCACCATCTGCAGAGAGTGAAGGACTGAGTGTGTTTCTCCTCCAGCTTCCTTTGACAATTTCACCCCGTTCTCAGGCTGGAGAACCACAGCTTTATTGTAACAAGCTGATTACATCTTAAGATTCAATAATAAAAAGGGAAATCCTGTAACATTTTGTTATTAGAGTCTCCTCTCAACTTCTGTAATAAATGAGACATGTTCATTTGTACATAAAGTAATCACATCAGATTTGGTTACAAAAGTTATTCAGACACACAGATATCCGCTGAAAGCAAAGTTTTTCTTCATTTGGGCACTAACAAGAAAAGAATTTTTAGCAATACTCAAGGATTAACATGAGACTACATATGGCCTGAAAACTCAGACCCATAAGAATTAGAAGATCTCCCATAGCAAGCACAGGTCCTAATTCAGGTTCAAGATTGACAATTCGTCCAGAAAAAACTGAAGCCATCTTCTGGGAGAGGCTTACTGCTCAAAAGCTTTTAGCATATGTGCTGCTGAAGCGAGCACATTGCTTACAAGTTTTTGAAAAGACAGTTTATTTCATGTGAGTCACAACTGCTCTAAAATCAAACAATTTTGCACCCAAGTAGTGAAACATTTCTAGTACTGAAGTTATGGCCTTTTTATTTCTTTTCTGACATCATGTTTTTACCACTAAATTAAAAACTTCTCTTAATGATATCATCCCATGTTCTCAACACCTAACACAATGCTCTAGGAAATAGCAAGCATTTCCATTTCTTGTGAAGTGGTGCCTACCAATTCTTTAACACTGTTGTTACCTACTACAAGAAAAAAAAAAGACTATCAAATATAAAGTTCTTCGATATATAATGAACAGTTACTAGAAAGTTGTATCCTGTGTTCATAATCCATTGGCATTTACTTGGCAATCTTAAAATGATTCTTAATTTTTTCTACCCACTAACGTCATGTGGAATACGACCATTATTTAGGCCACATCCAAACCTGTTAGAGTGCAGTTAGCATTAACCACAAATAATCTAAATACTGTAAAAAAGATCATAACTTGGAAAATAATTCCTTTCTGCACTCAAAAGATCTCCTTTTAATAGGTTTAAAGGTTTTGTTGCTATCTAGCTCCACAATTACATTCCTATGCTTTCTGTTACAATTTATTTTATGCAACTATCACTTCTAAAAACATAAGCATCTTACTCTACTGTTCGGAATATGGATGATTCTTGGGAGAATGAGGAGGGTGACAGGGAAAACCGAGCCCTGTGTGCTTTCGTCCCCTACCTCAGAGTGCTGGTACTGTTTCCAGAGTGCTTCAAGTGTCCTCAGAGAGCTGCTCTACAATCTCCTAGGATGGATACACAAAGTCCCAAATGCTGGTGTTCATCTGAAGCCCAGTGAATCAGTCCCTCTCTAGGAGGGCCCTGACTCTTTTTTTTTTTTTTGGTACCGGGGATCGAACTCGGGTCCTTGCGCTTGCGCAGCAGGCAGCGAAACCACTGAGCTAGATCCCCGGCCAGGGCTATGATTCTTAACAAGACCCCAGTCAATACTCACAGCTAATCACACATGAGAACGCTGGGTGCAGGCCTTTGATAACAGTCTTTCAACTCCTACCTTATACCGTGCCAACCATTTCCAAGTGGAGATTTTTAGGCTTGTAAACAAAAGTACCTAAGTCACATGTGTGACAAAGGCAACACCCACCTGGAAAATCAATTCTGCTGACTTCACAAGCCCTCTCCTTTGTAAGGCAAAGAAAAATACAGTGAGGTATTTACTGAAACAAAACTTTCTTGAAAGGTGAATTAAATTCTTTCTCTTATGTAACTATACTAAGTTATTATGAGATCATTGAAGTATTTGTGTTTGGTCACAGAAAAGCTACTACTGCCCTTAAATTTATTTAGTGTTACAGTAGCTTTCAGTTTCTATACAACTGACGTGCTTTGCTGGGATCATTATTCGGTAAGCACTTCAGTTATAATCTCCTGTGGAATCCCACTAAAATAAAACATTTGATTACTTGAAGGACAACGCAACTCATAAATTTTGGCTAAATCAACAAACTCTCGACCAAGTGGTAAAAAGGAGAGTCGCACATTGGGGTTCCAATACTAATTCTGACACTGGTAGTATCTTTGGGTGACAAAAACCTATGCATGTTTCAGTTCACTCATTCGTTTTTTTTTTTTGGGTACCATTGGTACCAGGGATCGAACTCAGGACCTTGCGTTTTCGAGGCAGTTCACTCATTTGTAAAATAGGGTCAAGTAAGTCTTCCGAGTTTGTAATGACTGAGATAAATTTGGAGAACATGGATCTTAAGGACAGACACTGAAAGCACGCTGAGTTTCCAATTCCATGCATTTAGGAACTGAAATCACCACGACAGCTTTTCTTTACAAGACAGTAATGCAGGGGACAGCAACAGACACTTTCCTTGAGCTACAGGGCTGTCACACTGCACTGTGAAGGCAGAGTATTTATCTACATAAAATTGTATGTCAGTAGTTTTGGGCTTAAAGGAACTTAAAAGATGGATGGATTCAATAATAAAAATGATACAGGAAACCTTGGGCAGTTTGCCATCGAAACATCTGGTCTAACCCCAGAAAATTTACCCCAAAATAGGCATTAGGAACTAAAGAACTCAGGAGGTGTACGTAAGGCATTTCAACAAAAATGCACTTTAGTATGTACTTTAAAAATGCCTTTCAGGGGCTGGGGATTTAGCTCAGTGGTGCCGAGCCTGCCTCTCAAGCACACAAGTACACGGTCCCAAGTTTGATAGCCGGCACCGACCCCCCGCACCCCCAAAGCCTTTCAGATGATGTTGATGAACTCAAGAGCCTCATATGCTACACAAGTTCAGAACTTAAACTGTCAATTTCTGTCAGGCATGACACAAAAAGGCAAAGCTGTCACAGAGGGTAAAGAAGACAGAGCAGGGTGCTGTACTTTGATAAATGGTGGCCAGGGAAGGCTTCTCTGAGTAAGGTAACACTTAAGAAATAATAAAAGGATAATTAGCACCCAGGGGCATACCTGGGGAGAAAAGTAGTCCAGGCTGTTAGTAATGCCTCCTTGGGGAATTAAAAAAACATACATAATCACACACAAAAAAATTAGGTTGAAATGTGCTCACAATAGAGTCCCTTAACTTTATTCTATGAGTAAAAGAGTAAAATTATTTTGGAATGAGAGATCCTTTGGACATCCACAACGCATCATCCCTGGCCAAAACTGGAGAGAATCAGGTGAGTTTACTGGCAAACAAATGAAAACAACTCTGAAGAAATAAAAGTAGCCACCTACACTACTTCAAATCTGGAAGCCCACAATGGATAATATAACATTTGCTGTAACATAACCTTGTACTTTATTTGAAAGGAAACTATCTGCAGGTGGCAACCTGAAGGGAGGGAGGCAAAGAGCAAAAACGTGTTAATACAAAAGCTTCTGGTAGCCGAAAAAGATTCCACTGCACGCAGAGCACCCACATAGTTCCTAGATAAACAACTTCCCAGGTGCTGCCCTTGTCGGCCCAACTACAAAGCCAAATGCCAGACTCCTGCCTACCCAGATGCTGACCAGGCTTTAGGTTAAAGAAAAGAAATGATCCAGGAAAATGACAGCACTTATCTTTGGTTAGCTTTTTCCAAGTGCATCAAAAAGATTATCTCCAGAGAATAAAGCATTTTAAAGTCTGCAACTTAACGAAGTTCTTAGTAACTCGTGGAACTACAAAAAATTATATTACAATTAAATGAAGCATCTCAAATAGCCCAGTAATAGAATGATTACAACCATCAAATGTTATCACTCTTATTTTCTGTCATTATCCAGTTCATTTTACAAGCAACTTAAATGTCACGAGAAAAGTACAGCAAAACATGTATTTCTCTATGTTCGTATTGTGGTAGGTTGTCCACTTCCAGAGCAAGTCCGATTCCTGTTCACAATATGCGCACTTCTTCCCAGAACTCTCCACCTCAGGCAAACTGATCATACACCCTGAACAGCGCATGTGCACTTTCCCTAAAACCAGAAACAAGATGCCAATTTGAAAAACCAATAGTCATTTGAAAATATTTTAGGTAGAAAGTCATGAAATACGCTGATACTTAACAAATACCTCATTATGACTATCTTGATCAACTGATTTATTGATCAGAAATGTACAGAAAGATCGATGATTTCATACATACATCAGTAGATTGAGGATTCCCAATTTCCTGTTGAGAATTTAATTAACACCATAAAATTCTGAGCATGATGGATACTGCATGTTTTCTGACAATACTTGAATTTCCACTTTTCCACTAACCTTCCCAAAGAGCACGTGATTGTTATTTCAAATCTGTGCGGCAGTATTTTTATACCTGATCTTACTTTATAGTTTCTTTTGCTGTTCAAGTAATTTAAAACTTTTATAATTTCCAGAATGAGTAACAATAGAAAGTCAAGATTTCAACATTCTAGAAGACAACTGTGAAATATCGTAACTTGTTTTTATGTGTACATCTGTCACCCTGCCAATTTTAACACCAAACACTATCAAGACTTGAAAACTGTTACCTTTCTTCCAAAGATCGCAAAAAACCCCCAAAAAACAAAAAAAAAACCCCGAAAAAATACACTCTTATTTTTCTCAAAAAATGGACATCCTATAATATGCGAAATATCGAAAGTGCAATTCTAGGGCAAAAGCCCCACGTTGGCACAATTTCAGGGGGTAACGGAAGAGAGAAAGGCAGAGCCCCGGGTGCTCGCAGGCCCGAGGCGCCGCGGCCTAGGGATACTCACTCCGGCGGGAAGAGGCGCAGCTCGTCGATCTTGCCTAGGAAGCCAAAGAGCGTCCGCATCTGCTCGGAGCTGGCGCTTGGGGAGACATTGGTCACCTGGATCACCTCGGTGCCGCCGCCGCCGCCGCCCGGCCCGCCGCTGGGGCCCGGGCCCGCGGGGCCGGGGACGACGGTCGCGCTGCTCATGGCTGCTCGCGGGCTCGCTCCTGCTTTAACACATCAAACACACAACAAACAGTGAGAGGGGGGAGGGAGAGGTGAGCAAGGGTCCGGAGCCGCAGCCGCCGCCGCCGCCGCCGCTTCTCCGCCCAGCCGCAGGCCGCAGGCAGGAAAGGAGCGCGCGAGCCGAGGCCCAGAAAACAAACGGCGCCGCGCCGCGCCCCGCCCCGCCTCACCGACGCGCACCCCCGGCCCACAATGCCGCGCGGCCGGCGCGCCCTCGGCGGACCCCGCCCCGCGCAGGCGCAGCACGACGGGGCCGCGGCTCGGGGAGACGCGGAGCCCTGTGGGCCGAGAAGGCGTCCTCCTTTCAGAGCCTGTTTTCGGAAGTGGCAGCGGAAGGTATTAAATTTTTTCTAAAAAAGCAAGCATTCACTTCTTGCAAAAGAAAAAAACAAAAACAACTGCACACTTTAGCAACTAGTATTATGAAACTGTTCACGATTTTTATTTCTACATTGGGAATCATTTACAGATTTGTTAATATTTCTACCCTGGCTAACATTTCTCCTCTACACCAATATAAAATTTCCTCTAATCTTTACGCAAATTTTGGTAACCCTGTATTTGTCACCAGTTTGTTTTTCACTAATCCTTCAAAACTTTTTCTGTAGTTTTAAAATAATTTTATTTCACAATGGTTTGCTTTTAAAAAGCACATTTCACAGTACTTTACACTGAAGTTTATAATGAGCACTTTCTAGGGAAGAATCTGCTTGGGATGCTTACTCCAGACCACAAAAAACAAAACCAAAAAAGCCCTTGCCTTTTCGTCCTCCTGTGAACTAGTCTCCCAACTGCATCCTCTTCTCGGTTCAGGAACAAAGAATGCATAGGGTTATTACTGGTAGGTATCTCCCCAGGATGCAGGACTCAGCACAGTGCCCATCCCCAAATCCTGCCCTCCACAAGCCGCCATCCCTTACGTTGCCAGTGGCATTACCTCTAAGTCTGCTTTGGAAGTAGACTGAGCGGAAGTATCTGGAGCGAAGACCTGAGGCCCAACAAGCCCATCACTGAGCACGTCTGGGAGTGCGCGGTCACAGTGACTGAGGGTCAGATATAGGGTGCTGGGCGCAGAGCCCACTGCTCCCTCGGTTTACTCACTACTTCAGTGACGCCCTGCCTACGGCTTTCGCACAAAACGGACAGGCTGTGTGATTGTGAAACTCAGGACGATTAGAAATTACAACTCATTGTTTGTCACTCATAAATGTATCTTTAAAGATCAAGTATATTAGGTCGTTTATTTTCTCATTTGCAATCAGAATTACATGATTGTAATGATAAATTCTTAATACTCCACCACTTAAGTATGGGAAGCGCCTACAACGTGCCAGGCATACTACAATATTCAATGAGAAAGGACAAGGAACGCACAGACAGGGTTTATGCCTGTCTTTTATTTTATTAAATGTTCTTTAACATCTGTCTCTTCTCTGTAATGGATCCACAGAAATCTTTTACGTTATCCTACACTTTTCTGTATGCTTGACATCTCATAAAAATTACAAATTCAAACAAAAAATTCTGATAAAAACTCTTTAACCATTGAAAGCCAATTTATGCATGATAACTTGCTGAACAAAGAAGTGGATGGTGCTCTGATATGCAGGATTAAAGTGACAAAACAGAATTTTCTTCAAATAAAGAGCATTTAAAAACATTTTATTTTCAAATTATCCAGCAGGCACAAAATTAAAGAGAAGACTAGCTTAAATACTGACCTTTGTCAGTAAGTATGTGGTTTAAAGAAATTTAGTTTCACTTCTGAGAATCTATCTCGGTTTTCTTGTCAATTAAATGAGGAACTGAATAATTTGAAGACCCTTGAAGGTCTAACAAATAAACAACTACTTTGCATGATTACTGTCTGCATCCAATAGAAACATGCAGTGAAAGGCAAATAACAATCATATTAGGTGGTTACAAGTACACTCAACCCACACTAATTGTGAATCACTTCAGATTTGTTTAGGCTCCCAATTAAACAAAAATACAAGGAGTACACCGTGGAGATAGGTGTTGAGTGTGTCTTTTACTATATCCCCAATATTGCAAGAGGCAGTCGAAAACAGACAAATTTTTTCAAATATTATGTATTATGTTTCAGGGGTTTTCCTAGCTGCCAGAAATACAGCAGGGAAAGGGTAATCAATGTCCTCGATCTCAAGAGATGTGAAGTCCAGTATGGCAAACTCTTCATAAGCAAACGCAAAGGTATAAGGAGCACTGTGTTGTGATGAAATAAAACAGGATAGGGAGCCAGGCATGGGGGTGGACACCTGTGATCCCAGCACTGCAAGGCTGAGGCAGGAGGTTCTCTTCTAGCTCAAAGCCAGCCTGAAGTACAGAGCACAACTCTGTCTCAAAACAAATAAACCAATAAAAACAAAACAAAACAAGGGCCGGGGATTTAGCTCAGTGGTTTCCAGGAGCAAGGACCCGAATTTGATCCCCTGGTACCAAAAACAAAAAAACAAAAAGAAAACAAAAAGTTTAGGTAGGAGAGCCAGGTGTGGTGTGCAATGCCCATAGTTCCGGCTACAAGGTGGGAGGGTCACTCACACTCAGGAGCTCTAGACCAGCTAGGACAACATACTGAGGTTCCATCTCAATATAAAAATGAAAAAATGAGATAGGATATGGGAAAGAAAATGTTACCTGTTGGGACCTTAGTAAAAGGACAAAGCAAGCCATCTGAATATCTGGGGAAAGAGCCTTTCAGACAAAGGAAATTACAAATTATAAAGGTCCTGAGAACAAGTCTGAAGCTTCCATGAGAAGAAGACCATGCTGCTGAGAGAACGCTTTCCCATTTCTGTTTCAGAGGAGAGCACCCTTTAGAGCACCAGATGTTGAAAGTGGACTCCAGGAGCTGGGAGCCCTGGGAAAGCCCGCACGGCCCTACTGGCCCACAGAACAGGGCTCCTGGTTCCTGCAATGCAAGGGCGACTACAGATTTCTAAAGTCAGCATAAAGGGGAAGAAGAAAGAAATCAAAAGTGCAGGCTTGTCCAGGGCAGGACTGTGAGTCCAACCTAATGGGTTTCAATCTCTAGTGCCTGGGCAGAGTTGGCGCTGTTAACGCTGAACTTGAAAGGAAGTGGAATTTATACTCAGTGTATTTTACTACTTTCAGTTGTTTTTGCAAATTTTGATGGTCAGGATAAGGGATCTGGAAAGACAGAACCATGCTAAATAAATGGGTAGTTGTTAACAAAATAATAGTATGTAAATAAAATGTTGGGTGCAGATTTCCTTAAAAAATTGTATTTCACAGTGAGACTTTTAAGAGACCCTGTCATGGTGAAAGAAGTATGTAAGAAAGGGGTCACTTAAGTTTATCTTTGGTAGGTTAGGGAGGGCTTCTAGTTAGGTTTGAATAATAAATATCAGCTTTACTAAGGGTTGATGCTATTTCTGTTCCAAAGGAAAAAGAAAAAAAACCTGTCATTTTGGCCTATAAAGTTGTATTATGGGAAAGCACACGATTTCTCATAGGCTTTTTGAAACATGGAAAATAATCCCCACGTTCCCTACAATATCAAGACCCCCACGGCCCAGCTTCTCATAGATAAGGAGCCACCACTACCACATGGATAAGAAAATTTAAACTGATTTCCTGATATTGGCAGAAAAGTATGTCAAAAATACTAATGTTTTCCATCTTCTCATTGTACCAATACCATAATGAACAAGCTTCAGTCCTTTCAAGATTCAAACCTCTGAAAGATCTTTGTGTATTCAGATGGAAGTTTGTTAGGAAAAGGGCATGAACATGGAGGACGATCACTCCACTACTGCAGGCCACTTTCCCACTTAGCTCATTTCTGTTCTGATAGCCACTTTTGATTACACTAACTGAAGAAAGTAGAGTCCTCCTGAATGACATTATTTTGCAAATCTGCACAAGCAACAGGCCTTCTGTGAAATTACTAGGTAAGCAGCTTTTCTCTTCACCAAATAAAGGTCTGAGGAGAGCAAAGGCAATGTACTAACCTTTGTGTTTCTGATGAGAACATACAGATTATACAGGCACATGTTCCTGAGGAAACAGGGCTGTGCTATGTTGCCCCGGCTGGCACTGAGCAACTTATGGGATCAAGGGTCCTTCTGCCTCCGTCTCCCAAGGAGCTGGGATTACGGGCACAGGCTGCACTATACCACCACACCCAGTGAGCAGCAACATAACGAACCAAAGCCAGCATTCAATAAAGACTTACTGAGTATCATCATTTGCTAGAAGGCTTGCAAACACCCCTCAGAATCTGCTCAACCCTCTAAAACAGGCAGCTTAACTCTACGGTATACATGCAACAAAGGCTTGGTGAACAAAGACAGCAAAGTATTTGCTGGGTTTAAGGGGAAATTTGGTTGAAATAAAAAAGCCTCAAAGTATATGGCTATAATTTTTTCTCCTATAGCTACAGATAGCCATAAGCAAAACCTAAAAAATAAGTTGATGGTTGCAAATCTATAAACTACAGATCTACTTTATTTATTTATAAATTTGATAATTATTTGATTTTTAAATTACAAGTTTAGATAATTCAAAAAGTATTGATTGTTAAATTGAAATTATAAATTGCATGCTTCTTTCTTTAAATGAAGGGGAGAAGCTAAAGGATGAGTTAGTAGTGGGAGACCGACAGACACACACACACACACACACACACACACACAGACACATAGACATGTATGTGTGCATACACATACACACACACAGAAGTCTATTTCCACACACTTTTTTTTTTTTTGGTACCAGGCATCGAGCTCGGGACCTTGCGCTTGTGAGGCAGGCAGCAGAACCACTGAGCTACATCCCCGGCCCCTCCACACACTTCTTTCATACTGTTTAATCTATACTGTCTAAAATAGCAGGGATTTTATAGCTAAGTGTTTGAAATGACAGAGCAGAGCCTCAACATCCTGAAATGGTAAGCAGAAGTACCTGCCCATTTCTCACAGCTCTGTTTTTATGATTAACACAGAGGAGAAAAGGAGAAATACTTCTAGCGTTAAGATACTATTTCCAGCCTCCACATGCACAGTATACTAAGCTATGGTGCATAATTACAGCTTGGAAAAATCACGAATTATCAGTTGCAGATGAGCGTGGCTT